ATGTTATCAATCACAATCTAGACCAGTAACTTGTACAACTGGTTGTATAGATGGATATAAAGGTAATTACTGTCAGGATACCTGTCTAGATAACTGTATTAGTTGTAATAATAATCAATGTACAAGTTGTAAGACAGGATGGTATGGTAATCAATGTCGAACAAAGTGTAATAGTAATTGTATCAAAGGGTGTGAACAGGCTAAAGGAAGATGTACAAGTTGTAAAGCGGGATATTATGGAAACCAATGTACCGAACAGTGTCCTAACAGTTGTCCTGGTGATTGTAAACAGGATTCTGGACATTGTGAATCATGTAATTCAGGAACATTTGGTAATTATTGTAATGAAACATGTAGTACAGGATGTTTACCTGGTAAATCAACCTGTGAAAGAGATGGTAGGTGTACTGTAGGATGTATTAATGGTAGATATGGTAATAATTGTGATGGTAAATGTAGTACAGGTTGTAAGAATGGTACATGTAATAGAAATGATGGTAGTTGTATATATGGTTGTATTTCTGGTAAATCAGGACCTAATTGTACTAATGATTGTAGTAAAAACTGTATTATATGTAGTCAGAATGACAATAAGAAATGTTCCCAATGTTACGATGGATATTATAGACAGTCATGTAAACAACCATGTAATAAAACATGTCAATCACAAGATAATAATCCAGTATGTAATATAACTAATGGTTATTGTACTATTGGATGTATTAAGGGATATTATGGTGATGTTTGTAACAGGGAGTGTAGTAGTAATTGTTATGAGAAGACATGTCACCAGACTGATGGATTGTGTACTAATGGCTGTGTCGCTGGTAAAATGGGTGATTATTGCTCTATAGGTAAGCTACTGTCTTCATTGGAATTTCCTTTGTAGATCCACTAGTTTAGTGTATGGTGGTATTTAATTTTATCAGAGGTTTGATGTAGCTAATAGATCAGGCGACATTTTCGGGGGTAGAATATAAATGTAATATGTTTTCAGAAATACTATTACTCAACGAAAATCCCATAATTCCTTCAAATATACATCGAACAAAAAATTTCAATTTCTATTTATTTCGTTCACAAGCTTATTTTCTGTCTGAAAATTGGGATAGTTGACACACAGAAATTAAAACTGTTTTTCAAAATGGGGGGTTTGAAAAAAGACGATTTGTCACTATTACTGATTAACTTAGAATAATTTCTGTTTCTGAGACCAATGAAGGACTTGATCTAGAACTTCGCGACAGAATCTATAATCTAGAATCGTGGAATTTAAAAATGTATTTTTTAGCATCCTGTTTTATATCGTTTTCTAGATTGTTCTGGTGGAACATATGGATTAAGATGTAACTCTACTTGTGGTAATTGTTATAACCAAACAATCTGTCATATTGTAACTGGAGCTTGTGGTGTTAAGGGATGCCAACCTGGTTTTCAAGGACCAACTTGTAAAGAAGGTAATGACTCATATCAGTTTGCATTTGTATTTTTATCTGCAAATTTCCTTAAATTACAGTCAAAGTTTGAAAGAATTGGTCTATTTTGCAGCATATAATCTAGCCAAGTTGAGAATATCCCATGGTATGCTCTACATTGTCCAATTTTGATGAGATACGCCGGACACGTATGTAAGGATCTAGAAATCGAGTAGTTCATTGTGTCTTATCGAAGGAATTCTTGTGAAATCTAATTATTATGCATTACATTTATAGAAGAGACAGACACTAGTTCTATAACAGCTGGAATTGTTACCTTGGTAGTAGTTATTGCAGTGGTCATTGGTCTAGTTTTAATAATACGACGGTAAATAGGATTATTTTAATATAATTGTAACATAAAATTCGACTAAAAAGTGTTTACCAAAGTAACCTAAGAATCCATCTCAGTGGTATGAATCTATTTCAAAATAACTTAACAATGTAAATCATCATCAATTGAAATCGACAATTTCAATATACATATGGGTTGGCTAAAAAGTTATAAACTGTCTCGTCAATCGGATTGCAACAATCTTATGACAGGAACACCCATTTAATGAATCATGGACATACAAACTGCAGTTTCCTGGCTTCACTTAACAATACTTCATGACCCTGAGTTTATAGACCGATTTGGCCGATTTCAGCGAAATATAGGTGTATAATATAGGCATCTCTCTTTAAATATTTGTTGTTGTTATATGTACAAGAGCCTGCATTGAACGGTGTACTTGAAAAAGATAAAAATAATCAAGTCAAGCTACTTGGAACATGGGCAACGGCAGATTGAAGTATCCAATATCTGGATCGGATGCTTTGTTCTTTTTGGTGGTTTAATTGTCATATAGATAATAATGTTATTTTCCAACTTTATAGTCACTCAGAGATATACGTCAACATGTTCCTGTTTGGTTTTGATCTATTAAATGATAAAATATTAATGAGGAACTATTTGTATGATTCATTAGATATCTTTCCCTGTACTTAATATTCATCACATGTGTTAGTTGGGGTTTTTCAGTGGTATTATGAGTATTCTTCCTTTTAGACCATTCATATAACATTCCTATTATATTACAACCTGACACGTGCTCATTTAGTTTTTAAAAGATCATTTGAAATATATGGAGGTAAAACGTTGCCAAAATTGTCGATTGCGTCGCAGCTTTAAAATACCAATGTCGTCATTACAAAATACATTTGTCAATACTGCAAAGTACAATTGTCGATATGTAAAAATGCAAAATGTATAGGTATTCGGAAACGGAAATAGCACCGGGTAGGTAAATGCGACCACACAGTCAATAACATAGACGTTATGAGAAAGTTAAAGATGCATAGTCAATATGAATTATTTCTTTTTCATTTACACATGCCAAGCCAATTGTTGTTATACAACCAAAGATATCGTCACTTTTTAAGAGCTACAACGAAAATAAAACATTGTCCGATAAATATGATCTCAATTTATGACAGTTTATTAATAGTTTTGTAAGGAAATGTAACATGGCATAGAAAATTGAATACGCTATGCAGGAAAACGACATGCCGTTGAAATGTTGAACAGTAAGATGTGAGTCTCCTCTTATAGAAAACGTCAGAAAAATGAGTTGAGATCGACTGGAAGAACTGATATTCTTCTTTCAACTACAAACCGACTCTATGTCAACAAAGGCGATACTTTGCAATATATTTCATTAACCGGTAACAGTTCTACCAACAACGTAGATTTAGATTTCGGGGATAACGCAGACAGCCATCAACAAATTTACCAGAATATTGAAATTATTAACTCAACTGTATCATCTACCAGGGTAGATTTACCAGACTTATGGGACTACTGTCAAGAGAAACTAGGTCAATTGACAAAACAATATCAGGTATGTTGAGTATTGACAATGTATTATCTCTCTTTCACAGATTACCATTAACATCGATTTTGATTTTTACTTATCCATGTCTTTAGAGTTGTTTGATTGTCAGAATCTTGTAACTGCAAATCATTTAAGATTTGTCAACTATTATTTCCAGAAATTGCCTAAAGGACTTTGTCGGCCACATACCATTTGTTTGAATGAAATTAATGGACCAAAGAATAGATACAAAAATGTGTGTGCATGTAAGTTAAGTTTTAACGTATTAGTAATCTACGATACCACAGGTATTGATATCTATTAACATATAGTTGGGACAGACTAGATATTGATTTATTATACCATGGCATATAGTATCTTTTATACAGTAACATGTCAGAAATTGATATCTATCATACAGTAACACGTACGAAATTAATATCTTTCGTACCATGACATGTTAGATATTGATATCTATTATACCATGACATCATACATTGGTATCTATCATACATAAACATGTAAGATGTTGGTATCTATTATACCGTGACATGTAAGAAATTGGTATCTCTATTATACCTGACATGAAAGATATTGATATATATCATACAGTAACAAGTTAGATATTGATATCTATCATACAGTAACAAGTTAGATATTGATATCTATCATACAGTAACAAGTTAAATATTGATATCTATCATACAGTAACAAGTTAGATATTTATATCTATCATACAGTAACAAGTTAGATATTGATATCTATCATACAATAACAAGTTAGATATTGATATCTATCATACAGTAACAAGTTAGATATTTATATCTATCATACAGTAACAAGTTAGATATTTATATCTATCATACAATAACAAGTTAGATATTGATATCTATCATACCGTGACATGTTATAAATTGATATCTGTTATAGCATGACTCGTTAGAATGATATATATATATATCTATTATACCATGACATGTAATATATAGATATCTATTATACCTGACATGTAAGATATTGATATTAATTATACCATGACATGTAAGATATTGATATCTATTATACCATGAATGTAAAATATTGATATCTGTTATACCGTGACATGTTAGATAGTGATATCTATCATACAGTAACAAGTTAGACATTGATATCTGTTTTACCGTGACATGTTAGATAGTGATATCTGTTATACCGTGACATGTTAGATATTGATATCTGTTATACCGTGACATGTTAGATATTGATATCTATTATACCATGACATTTTAGATATTGATATCTATGATACATTAACACGTACGACATTGGTATCTATTATTATACCTGACATGTTATACATTGATATCTATTATAACTGTCATGTAAGATATTGATATCTATTATACCGTGATATGTTAGACATTGATATATATTATACTGAGACATGAAATATAATGATATCTGTTTTACATGACATGTTAGATATTGATATCTATTATACTATGACTTGTGATATGTGATATGTTAGATATTGATATCTATTATACTATGACTTGTTATATGTGATATGTTAGATATTGATATCTATTATACTATGACTTGTGATATGTGATATGTTAGATATTGATATCTATTATACTATGACTTGTTATATGTGATATGTTAGATATTGATATCTATTATACTATGACTTGTTATATGTGATATGTTAGATATTGATATCTATTATACTATGACTTGTGATATGTGATATGTTAGATATTGATAGATATTTATTTTTTAGTTTTACAATAATGATTGATTGATATAATGACAATAAATCTTTGAATATTAATATACATTATACCGTGTCGTTGATACTCTAAGGTTAGGTGTTTGGTAATAATTTAAATGTTTAATAGTTTATCGTTGTTGAAACAACTTGTTGACTCTCAAAATCAAACAAAATAGTGCTCGAGGCTTTTACTTGTATTTGCTTCGATACAAAATAACATGATAATCTTTTACAGTTGATGATACTAGAGTCAAACTACAACCAATAGACAATGATCCTAATTCAGATTATATCAACGCCTGTTATATTACTGTAAGTTATAGTTTTAACTTATAATGATCCTAATTCAGATTATATCAACGCCTGTTATATTACTGTAAGTTATAGTTTTAACTGACAATGATCCTAATTCAGATTATATCAACGCCTGTTATATTACTGTAAGTTATAGTTTTAACTGATAATGATCTTAATTCAGATTATATCAATGTCTGTTATATTACTGTAAGTTATAGTTTTAACTGATAATGATACTAATTCAGATTATATCAATATCTGTTATATTACTGTAATTTATAGTTTTAACTGATAATGTTCTTAATTCAGATTATATCAATGTCTGATATATTACTGTAAGTTATAGTTTTAACTGATAATGATCTTAATTCAGTGTATATCAATATCTGTTATATTACTGTAAGTTATAACTTTAACTGATAATGATCTTAATTTAGATTATATCAATATCTGTTATATTACTGTAAGTTATAGATTTAACTGATAATGATCCTAATTCAGATTATATCAATATCTGTTATATTACTGTAAGTTATAACTTTAACTGATAATGATCTTAATTCAGATTATATCAATGTCTGTTATATTACTGTAAGTTATAGTTTTAACTGATAATGATATTAATTCAGATTATATTAATATCTGGTTATATTACTGTAAGTTATAACTTTAACTGATAATGATCTTAATTCAGATTATATCAATGTCTGTTATATTACTGTAAGTTATAGTTTTAACTGATAATGATCTTAATTCAGATTATATCAATGTCTGTTATATTACTGTAAGTTATAGTTTTAACTGATAATGATCCTAATTCAGATTATATCAATGTCTGTTATATTACTGTAAGTTATAGTTTTAACTGATAATGATATTAATTCAGATTATATCAATGCCTGTTATATTACTGTAAGTTATAGTTTTAACTGATAATGATATTAATTCAGATTATATCAACGCCTGTTATATTACTGTAAGTTATAGTTTTAACTGAAAATGATCTTAATTCAGATTATATCAATATCTGTTATATTACTGTAAGTTATAGTTTTAACTGATAATGATACTAATTCAGATTATATCAACGCCTGTTATATTACTGTAAGTTCTAGTTTTAACTGATAATGATCTTAATTCAGATTATATCAATGCCTGTTATATTACTGTAAGTTATAGTTTTAACTGATAATGATCTTAATTCAGTGTATATCAAGATGTTCCTTCTTCCAATAAGCCTATTATAAATGTATCATTTATTTGTATTGTAGATGTATGGACAGTCCTCAAAGTATATCGCATCCCAAGGTAACTTACCACACATTTTGTAGTTAGAATAGAATGTACTCGATATTATATCTACAGTCCTCGCGAGCAGCTCTGTTCTAAATACTACATCAACAGCAATATCGTGTATAATACATTAAGAGCAACATCGGTTTATGACACAACCTAAATAGCAACATCTTGTATAATACATCAATAGTACCATCGGATTTTAACACTGCCTTAATAACAACATCGGTTTATAACACAACCTAAATAGCAACCAACCTAAATAGCTAAATAGCAACCAACCTAAATAGCAACATCGGTTTATGACAACCTAAATAGCAACATCGTGTATAATACATCAATAGTACTCGATTTTGACACAACTTAAATAGCAACATCGTGTATAATACATCAATAGTACCATCGGTTTACGACACAACCTAAATAGCAACATCGTGTATAATACATCAATAGTACCATCGTATTTTGACACAACCTTGATAGCAACATCTTGTATAATACATCAATAGTACCATCGTATTTTGACACAACCTTGATAGCAACATCTTGTATAATATATCAATAGTACCATCGTATTTTGACACAACCTTGATAGCAACATCTTGTATAATACATCAATAGTACCATCGTATTTTGACACAACCTTGATAGCAACCTCGGATTTTGGCACAACGTAAATAGCAACATCGTGTATAATACATCAATAGTACCATCGTATTTTGACACAACCTTGATAGCAACATCTTGTATAATACATCAATAGTACCATCGGTTTACGACACAACCTAAATAGCAACATCGTGTATAATACATCAATAGTACCATCGTATTTTGACACAACCTTGATAGCAACATCTTGTATAATACATCAATAGTACCATCGTATTTTGACACAACCTTGATAGCAACCTCGGATTTTGGCACAACGTAAATAGCAACATCGTGTATAATACATCAATAGTACCTTTGGATTTTGACACAACCTAAATAGCAACATCGTGTATAATACATCAATAGTACTATCGTATTTTGACACAACCTTGATAGCAACATCGGATTTTGACACAACCTAAATAGCAACCAACCTTAATAGCAACATCGTTTTTTGACACAACCTTGATAGCAACATCGTGTATAATACATCAATAGTTCCATCGGATTTTGACACAACCTAAATAGCAACATCGTGTATAATACATCAATAGTGCCATCGGATTTTGACACAACCTTAATAGCAACATCGGTTTATGACACAACCTAAATAGCAACATCATGTATAATACATGAATAGTACCATCGGATTTTGATACAACTTTAATACCAACATCGGTTTATGACACAACCTAAATAGCAACATCGTGTATAATACATCAATAGTGCCATCGAATTTTGACACAACATAATCAGCAAAATCGGTTTTTGAAACAGTCTGAATAGCCACAGCCTCAGTCGGGTTCTAATACAGTAGGTGTTAATACTACATCAAAACCGATATAGGTTTTAAAACTGCATCAAGAGCAACATAGATTTTCAATACTACATCAAAACCAACATAGATTTTTAATACTACATCAAAACCAATATCGGATTTAAAACTACATCAAAAACAACATCGGTTTTTAAAACTACATCAAAAACAACATCGGTTTTTACAACCACATAAAAAACAACATCGACTTTTAGAACTACATCAATAGCAACATCGGTTTTTAAAACTACATCAAAAACAACATCGGTTTTTACAACCACATAAAAAACAACATCGACTTTTAGAACTACATCAATAGCAACATCGGCTTTTAGAACTACATCAAAAACAACATCGGTTTTTAAAACTACATCAAAAACAACATCGGTTTTTAAAACTACATCAAAAACAACATCGGTTTTTAAAACTACATCAATAGCAACATCGGCTTTTAGAACTACATCAAAAACAACATCGGTTTTTAAAACTACATCAAAAACAACATCGGTTTTTAAAACTACATCAAAAACAACATCGGTTTTTAAAACTACATCAAAAACAACATCGGTTTTCAAAACTACATCAAAAACAACATCGGTTTTTAAAACTACATCAAAAACAACATCGGTTTTTAAAACTACATCAAAAACAACATCGGTTTTTAAAACTACATCAAAAACAACATCGGTTTTTCAATACTGCATTGATCTTAAATACCACATTAACACCAACATCCTTTTTTCTGGATTAAAGCTATTGAGCTATATTAAGGAAAGGTGTCAGATAGACTATCTCTTTCTTGATAAGGTATAATATGTCATTTTAGGGCCTAATGAAGTTAATTTGGAAGAGTTTATAAGAATGATATGGGATGTTGATGCTAGTAAAATAGTTATGTTAACAAGTCTGTTTGAAAACGCCATCGTATGTATCACTTTTATTCCTTCTTTAAGCCTTATTACCTGTGTTGACGTCAACAGTTTACCCATTGATTTAACTAAAGAATAAAGTGAACGTGTTATTGCTATTCTACATTTAACATTTTCAGGAGAAATGTAAGCAGTATTGGCCAGGTATTGGTAAAACACAACAATTTGATCAAATTAACATGAAACTGATAAAAGAAGAGGTTTATGCCCATTTCACTGTGAGAGAACTACAAATAACCAAGGTAGAAAATATATAAGTTCTAAAGAACAAGTGTAAATAATACATCATGAGCATTCAAGAAAGATCTCTTCAGAATATCTAGCAAACTGTAAACAGGTGTTTCGTGACTGTCGGACTGTCTGATCCCAAAAACTAGCCTACTGAGAATCTTAGATTGTCTTAAAGGGATTGTTAACAGGTTTTCTAGAATTTTTATGTTTATCGGGGACACCGAACCATCAATTTGCACCATTCCAAATTTCAATCAGACGTCTGTGGTGCCTGCAATTCCACTAAAACTAAGCGTTTGATGACGTCACTATCGTAAAATATGCTTTATCACATTTGGCCCTTCGCGATTAGTGATGTTATTATACACAATCCCTTTAAGGTTGATGAAAATTACAACCAGTGAAAAAACTATTATTTAGTGACTTGATGAAGAGATTTTTCAATCTGAAATTTTTGGTAGAGAAGTATGATAAATGTAGAATCATCAAACAAAGGAAGGAATAGATTTTTCTGTTACTTTGTTTTTAAATTACTGAATTCACTGCATGATCAAAAAGTAATACTGTTGTTTTATGTTATTCTTAGGCGAAATCAGATACAAGAATATTCCGACAATATCATTATACATCATGGCCTGATAAAGGTGTACCATCTGATATTGCTTCATTGGTTGAATTCCGTAATAAAGTCAACAAGTCATCATCCAAACGTTCAGGACCTATGATTGTTCATTGCAGGTAGGGATATTTCACTCAATTTCTTCTTTCTACATTTCTACCAATGATGCTCTCAGAAAATCAGTTTCTGATTCAGACATCAATCTCTACATTTTTTGATCACCAAACAGATTGTGTTCTGTTTAAAATAGTACCGTGGTATTTGTTCGCCCCCCTCTCCTGATGTTTCCTAGAAACGCCACTGAGCCTGTTTTAAGTTATTTTTGCAATGATCCGAAAATAAAAATATTGGTATTCTGTATTTTTCAGTGCTGGTATTGGTAGAACTGGAACATATTTAGCTTTAGATTATCTCATACAACAAGCTCAAGCTGAAAATTCTGTAGATATTTTTTCTTGTGTATCACAGATGAGACAAGAAAGAGTTAACATGGTTCAGACTGTGGTAAGAAACAATTACTATTAGGAATCTAGTCTTCAATTTTAACATTTTCAGTTCATTCAAAGTGTAATGCCAAGTTTAAAGGTATCATTTTTTAACCAATTGTACCTTAGTCGCAGAAACAGGAATTTGTTTAGCTCAGCTAATCAACAATATAGTGTTCACAGCTCGCCGTCGAAATTTGAGCCTTCATATCCATGTGTGTCCAGAATTATTCGCGTTTGAAAATTAAAAAGACGAGTCGTCTTTTCTTATGTCATCTATAGAAATAGGAAATGAAATTCCTAGTTTAGATATTTTTGAGGGATTATGCGATTTATGTACATTTCTAGTATTTCTGGAGACTATTTACATATATTCAACATTCAATTCAACTCAATTTTTTAGAAAATCTCTTTATAATCCTTTTAATAACTCTTCTTTTACAGACCCAGTACATCTTCCTTCATGATGCTCTAACAGTTTGGTATATAGCTGATGATACAACAACATCAATAACAAATTATCCTCAAATATATAATCAACTTCTACAACAAGATAAACATAATAATACATCACAATTACAACATAAATATCAGGTATGTACATGTATTTCTATATCTTTCACTTAATGTGCACAAACATTGAAGCTTAGGTCTAACTTCAGCTTTCTAATGTTGGAATTGCCCACTATTGTTCCAGTTATGTTTCAATACATACGTACACCCCCAGTAAAATGGCCTTTAATGAAAATTCAATTCATTCATACAATTATGCACCATGACGTCATATTCTCTTCATTCAAATGATCAATACAGTTCGTAAATATAAATCGATAATTAAATACAATCGATAATCGTGATATACATAAAGAAATTGGTCGACGATAATCTCTGGCATTATCCGGGTATCTATATATTGCACATTGGAGGTAGCTCCAAGAGATGTCAAGAGAAAATATTAGGCATATTTCATGTCGCCCAAATAGTTGCCCAAAAGGATATTTTGTTTATAGTACTGCCTTTACTAACTATTTATACAGATGCAATTGTTACCAATAAGGATCATCAATACAATTCTTAGAGATTTATTTTTGATATACTATTTATCTAGTCGATGAATAAAATAAGTTGTAAGATAGAAGAGGAAGGATTCTCAGATGCTCTAAAACCAGAAAATAAAAATAAAAATAGAGATCCTCATGTCTTAGCAGGTATGTATAAATTTTTCTCAGAATGTTCGGAAATACATGTATTATAAAGAAAATAGCCATTTTATCAATCTTTAACATCTAAAAGGTTGCAATTCAAAACGTAAGCGTGTGACTGCCTTAAACCTTCTATTTGAGAAAATTTCAATACTTACGTCAACGGTGTGCCAGGTTTCACCAAAATTCCATAATCTATCGTGTTCATCGTTTATAGTGTTTTACTTCATGGACAATTCAACAATTTACATTATCATCATCATGTTATGTAGTTATAATATTGCATTCCTGTGTGGGGCATTTCAGGTAATTCTGCTAGATTGATGATAATGAGATCAGCCTATGAGAACTCTTCCGATTATATCAACGCAGTTTATCTTCCGGTAGGTTACTTTCTATTCTTGTAACTCTGTAAGACTATGCTGTTGATCTTGTCAGTGACGGAGGTCCGAGGGTTGATCCGATACCCTCCCCCCATCCCAGGCCAGTGAAATGAAAGATAACTAGAGCCACACGTGGCACAGAGTGGGACTTTGCAAATGTAGCAAGTTGCAAAAGACCCCGAAAAAAATCAACCCTCCACGATAATTAGATCATGTGCAAGAACAGTCTAAAGTTGTGAAATGACCTTTGATCTTGTAAAGGAGAAGGTCTAAAAAGGTCAAAATCAAGAGTTATACGTCATCAAAATTTCTAATTGCACACGACTATAAAACCGGACGTTGACATAGGACAGCAAATATAAAAGTATAAATAGATAGCAAATGCCAATGACGTTTGATCATACAAAGGTCAAGGTCAACAAAGGTCAAGGTCAAAAATTGAAAATTTGGAATTTCCAAAACCAGTTACTTTTTTTGAACTATGAAGCGGAAACAACCGAACTTCTAAGACAAAGTGGCTTAAAACATGAGATAATTGTATGCAAAGTTCCATTTTGAACAAATGTATACTTTGCGAGTTATGCCCTTGGCCAAAAATGTCAATAATGAGTAATTTAACCCGGATGTGCCACGCCCACCTCAATTTTTTTTGCATAGGTTAATTGATATTCAAAATGTTATGTCGTGTGTCAAATTTCAAGCTTCTACATCATACAGGTCAAAAGATATAGGTCAACAAAAGTCAACAAAGGTCAAAATCGAAAAATGAAAATATCCAAATGTAAAAAACCCGTTCCTTTTTTGGAACTATAAAGCTGAAGAAACAGAACTGTTAACACAAACTGGCCAAAAGGATGAGGTAATTGTGTGCAAAGGCCCTTTTTGAACAAATACATCCTATGCGAGTTATGCATACACCAAGCTCAAAATGTGGCAAATATTGTAAAAAAAAAACTCGAATTTGAAAAAATCACGACTTTCAATTTTGCTTTGAAAAAACGATTGTTATATATCTATGTAAAGTACACGAGAAGCACATTAGGAAACCGAAAAAATTTACTCTCTAGGTTAATTAGGTCGCGTGCTAGAGCAGTCCAAGGTTGCGAATTTGGCTTTTTACGGATAGCTAGAAAACCGGAAGTACATGTCGGAGGTCAAAGGTCAAAGTATCAAATGATAGCCAGGGTCAATGACCTTTGACCCTATGAAGGTCAAGGTCATCAAAGGTCAAGGTCACAAGAAATAAGCTTTTAAACTTTGAAAAAATTCAACCGGAAGTTGCGAAAATGCGAAAGCAAAATTCAAAAATCGGCTCGCAACGTTTTGTGAACATTTGACTGCAGATTACATCGACACCAAATTTATGCAGATTTAGTTTATCCCTAAGGACTTATTTCGATTTTAAGAAATTTTTTTGTTTTTTTGTATTAGCATTTACTTACGACCTGCATAAATTCCGTTGACCTATTTCATTTACACCGGAAGTTATTCGACTTTCAATTGATTCCACCTTCAAAACCGGAAGTGACGTTAAAACTCTGACTGAATCATATCATTGACTTTGTTGATGTCTCTTTGCATTTTAAATTTCAGATCAATCGATGCAAAAACAAAAAAGTTGCAAAAAAATTGCAAAATTCAATCGAAAAAAGTTTGCGAAGAATTGACAATATGATAACAAACAAACAAACAAATAAGGTGGCTTATGTGGGTCTCTGGTACCGCCTCGAAACAACTTAGTTTTGGTCCACCCCTCAAGTATTTTATAGATACGACCCTTGGTAGGATGTATCAATATGCTTGCAAAATGTGACTTGTGCACTTCAAAGATCAGTTGCATTTGTCCTATTATTTCACAATTTATACAGTGAAGGTATCAGTTTTCAAATACAGAGGAACGTATTGTATTATCTAATTCGCAATCACTATTTTTGTCTATTTAAACTATGTCAGTGTTACAAGAAAAAAAGAGGTTATATAGCTACTCAATCACCTCTACCAAATACAGTAGAAGATTTCTGGTTAATGGTTTTAAACTCAGAGACAAAAGTGATCATAGCTTTAGATGACAAAAAGGCAAAGGTAATTACTCGTTCATTAGAAAGTGTGGTTAAGAATATTACCTATAAACTGACTCTATAACAGAGATGCCGAGAAGAAACAAAATAATTAGATGTAAAGTTTTTGATATATATATTATTGTTATAGAATATTGGTGAATATATACCTAAAACAGAAATAAAGTATGGTGAAGTGATGATAAAACGAGGAAAAGAAGATAAAAATAGTCATGGCTATTATGATGTTATATCCTGTGAAATATCTCAAGAATCAGTAAGTAGCTCACTTTCTAAACAAGTCACTGTTTGAAAAGAAAAGAAATCCTTCATCCTAAAGAAATGAAAAATATTATCCAAAAAGTCTACTGGTGTATTTTACTGGAAGGTAAAGAATGCTATATCATAGCACATACAGGCAATTTTTGTGGTAGGCATTTTGAAGCACACTCTTTCCACCTCGCATATATGTTTGAAATGGTGGACAGTTTACAACCAACAGATCAGATGAAAGTAAAGAATATTATACTTAAATCTACGTAATATGTTCATATTTCAGGATAACATAAACAGAACTGTAAAAGTATATCAATGTCATTTCTGGAAAGGTCAGAAGAAAATACCTGAAAGTTCAATGTCAATATTCACCTTATTAGAAGAGATTTCCAGTATAAATAATAGTGGTCCTCTGATAGTCAGTTGTTTGTGAGTATATAATATCTAGCATATCATATAATTATCACGTGGCTTACTCGGAGCATCTCAAATTGATTCCCATGAAAATTTTCGAAAATTGAATTGATTGATTTGGTGCAATCTGACACATATTAAAAACGTATATAAATCTTATTTTTAAATTAATTTTTGTTAAAATTAAAGTGAGGGTACACTTAGGGGTGCAAACCATTTTTCTAGGGGAGGCAAATGCTCCCCCCCCCCTCCTCCCCTTTATCCCAACTCGCGCCCCTCCTGTGCTTGTGGCTGATTTGCTTTTTAAGCTTTATTGCATCTTGTGCTTGTAATGAAATTGTTTTATGTTATTAAATATCAATACTACTCATAAAAGATAGTTTCGTCTTTTATCACAACGACAAAAATGACATGGCACTTATCTTCAGAGTCTGGTGATATGTCAAGCAAACTGCTAGTCCAAATATACCTTACAAAAATTTAAACTTTGTTTCAGAAATGGTGCCAATAAAAGTGGTCTGTTGTGTGTTTTAGCTGCTATCTTAGAAAGATTAACAGTAGAACAAGATGTTAACATTATTCAAACTATTTTACAACTACGTATATCTAGACCAGAAATTATCAATTCTTTTGTAAGTATTAATTTTTACACATTAGTAACTGAACACAGACGCTAAGATACTTGTTTGTGTACAATCACTTATGAAGGTAATCTGCAGTGACATATCATTTTTGATTAAAATTTGTGGACGAACTCCATAGCCTGCAAAAGAACCTCAAGTTTTGTCTCGTCAACATAGATTTCTTTCTCTTTTAGTATTTTCTAGAATATAATGTATTTTGTACTACCTGATATATTTTATACTTATCATATAGTTTCCACATCCACAAAATGTCACTGTTAATACTTTGACAAAAATTGGGAATTGTTGGCACATTTCACAAATATCTGCAGATCAATGCACCGATATTATAAAACACTATAAACATTTAAATATAAAATGGCCACTCGGGTACTGTTTGTAGTGCGAGAGAGTATTAGTACCCCGGAGGAGTCAGGTTCTAGCGTATCAGTAGCGTATTAAGATAAATTTTATATTTTTCTTTCAGGAACAATTTAAGTTTTGTTTTGATGCAGTTGGAGTTTATTTGGACCATTTTTCTAGCTATATAAATTCTTGTTAATTCTTGGAAGTTTCTTTCATAATTATGTTAATGACGAAAATTGACCGTTTTCAGAAAACATGATACATTGGACCAAACGACAGTCAAAAAACTATTGGCAAAAACTTTTTATGAATTATTATTTTTAATATTATTCTACGGAGCCCCTAAGGCGCAATTGTAAACATATTTATTTATTATTTCGTTTAACGAAATAATAAATAAATATGTTTACAATTGCGCCTTAGGGGCTCCGTATTATTCGTATATTTTGTTACTTATTTATTTTAAAGTATTATATTTGATTAATTGATTTAAAAGCATTATCTTTATTTTTAAATTTACATACAATAATTATTTAATTGTATTATCTTGAATTTCAACTGTATTTTGAGGTTAACGGAGAACTGTTTGAAATAATCTTGCAGCGACTAGGTTTTTGACCAATTCTGCCAATTCATGGAAAGTAGCCTGGAAATGTAATAAGTTGGTAATTTTTTCGATTTGAGAGATAGATTCCAATTTGATGAAATCATTTTATCAAATGGAAAGCATTCATTCACGTTTCAAACTTCTATTTGACCTAACCTGACTAAATAACATTCAGTAAACTGATTAATGTTCTTTTTTCGACATTTTATTTGAGAATAGTTGTGTACTAAGAACTAAATTAACATGACAAAGTGTTGAAAAACTATTTAACCACTTCTAAAAAGTTTTTTTAATTTTTCAATTTTTTTTGTATATGCGTTGAGTTTTGTATTTGTTTTTAATGTTTATTATATTCAATTAATAATTATTTATATTTAATTTATTACAATTTAGTTTTATATATTTTCCTTTTTTAATTGGGTATCTTTCCAACTTTTTTGTACCTATTTATTACATGTTTTAAGACTTAAAAAAAAAATTCCATCTTGTATCTATTTCGTTTTATTTAACTTTTTCTTTTCATTAAATTAATCTGTATTCAGTCAAATTTTTTTTTAATTATTTTGAGTTATGCATGTTTTTGTTTTTGATTTTGATATTCATATTAAAGAAAATACCAATTGGTTTTCTGGTTGTCTTAATTCCTAAAATATTCTCAATAAGATACTGTCAACCTGAATTTGTTATCATTACTCATAAATACCCTCTGACACTCAGATTTCTCTCGTCTAGGACGAGGATCTCCGGTTCAATCGTCGCCTATGTTCGTTAGTTTGCGTAACTAGCAGCATTATAGTCCCGAAGTTGAAAGGAATGCTTTATCGAGCTGTGCATAGACAGAGGGACTCGATAATAGAGGTTAAAATACCCCTGAAACTGTTTTTTTCTAAAAGCAAAACGAGATTTTGGACATTGACTACTCCATAAACAAAGACAATCTAATTGAAAGGGATCTAGCTGGTGAAATGTGAATGTCTGCTCAACAACAAATAACTTGATACATATACTTTAATAATCACAAGTATGCTGAACAACATAATACAATATAGTATCATTAATATAAATCGTTCTGTTAACTTATAAAGTCTAGGTTCATACATAACTAATTCACATAAACATACATATAAATTATGTTAAATTTGACACTTAATCAACTGGACACCAGTAAGGTATAAGGCACCTATGATTGTATCATTTAATCTTATTGCAACTGTTATCTTTTTTGCTTACTAATTATGGTCTGTCAAGTTTCCACTATGTTGTAAATAGGTATTGAAATCAAATTAACAGTAATGAAGAACTGTGTCAGAGAGGGGTAAACAGTGGTCAAATTATCTTTCATTTAGCATACTGGTTCAACCTGACACAAGATTGAAATAAAAGCTAGTGTTTTACCCTCTAGATATTTTCTTAATCAGCTTATTAGCCATATGAAATTTGTGAATCAAATTAATTCAAATCCCCCAACTTCCATATGAACGAGAAACCTTTTATTTTAAATGATAAAATGAGGAAATATGAAATTTTCATGTTTTCATCAAAGAAAAACAGAAGGTATCTATAACAAATTCATTCTTAATTATTTTTTGATGACAGATGAAGAAATATTTGCTGTTATCAATGTATGGCTAAACTGTTATTTTGGTTTTGGAGTTTTGTTTTGCGGTTTGGATCGTTTAAATTGTTTATTATGAAATTGAATACATACATTGATTTGTTCATACCTATTTCATCATCTATATCTTAAATAACTTGATCTCACAAATAACAAATATAACGTCACTAAAACTATAGACTATTTCAATGATAATACACACATTCTTTACTGAATCACTTTCTAATTCACTCCATTTATTCTCATTCAAAATTAAATAAGCACTTTTGATTAAAAATAAAACAGCTGTTCATCATAAATTAGGGAAAGCTATCTTAAACACTTCATTATAATGCTTCACAAAATGAGCTTCTAAATCCTCTTTAATAAAATCTTGTAGATCAACAAAATCTTTTCTATTTTCTTCTGGTAGTATTATAGTATTAATACCAACTCTTTTGGCCTACAAAACATAAGACACCTCAATGATGATGTTAAAACAGATAAAAGAATAAATATTTAAATGTACAAATCAGTGCAAATTCATTAATTGCTATTTTCTTTTTCAATTTCCATCTGTCGTGTTATTGTTCAGCCTTAGCATACCCAATACTAGGGTTAGAAAGCCATTTTTAAACCCCTCAAGCATACAAAGCTTGGTAACCTATTATCTTCTGCAGAAGCCCATCTAACTATGCTTAGTCTAAAAGCTTGACTAATCCCAAACTTACTGCAATTATTTTTTCTTTGATACCACCAACAGCTAACACTTTACCAGTTAAAGAAACTTCACCAGTCATAGCTAGGTTATCTCTTACAGGTTCATTTAATGCTAATGATACTAGAGCAGTAACAATAGTACAACCAGCACTAGGTCCATCTTTAGGTGTGGCACCCTAAATAAAAAGACAATTATATATGAAATAGTTCATACACTATTGACACCATTCTATAAAATATTTAGCATTTTGAATTTTAGGAAAACTGAAAGAACGTCCTACTACCAATTAAATATATCTATTTACAACTGGGTCAACAGGAATAATAAACAGCTGGGTCAACAGGAATAATAAGGAAAGATGACTTTTAGATGCTAACAAAGATAAGTACCCATGACCACCGTTTGTTCCACATAACCAAGCAAATAACATCATTTTAAGAACAAACATTATAACCAACTGTGCTACAGAGCCCTTAAAAAGCTGATGTCATGAGCCCTAAAGATAGATGCAAATAAAGACATATAAATATAGAAATAACTCAAGGTGTTTTATACCTCAGGAACATGTAAATGTATACTAGCTTTTTGTAAGTAATCTTTCTCTGGGTATTGTTGTGTAAAGAATGATTTAGTGAAGGTATAGGCTAACTGAGCAGATTCTTTCATAACATTTCCTAGATTACCAGTTATTTCTAAAGAACCTTTTTCTTTTTCGTTACCATCATCTAATGGTTTCTTTAAAACAGTTTCAATAAATAATGTTGATCCACCTAAAGTAAAAAAAAAAGGACACCAAATTAAAAACCAATTAAATCAGGATGGTACAAATAATAGCTTTCAGTGTAAATGATACCCTGATAAGCCCGGGAAACATCTTTTGTTTTTAATAGACTAGTGAAGATAAGTTAGGTATTTTAAATTCATTTCAGTTGTCTAGACTGGTATCTTATACATCTCTATATATACGTATTTGGTAACCTATGTCTGTTAACAGATCTGAAGTAGTGAAAATGCAATAGCTGTAATATTTCATAAATATATAAGTTATAAACATACCCATAGAAGTCCAAGCTAACCCTGTCACAACACCAGGTGGTGTTTTATCATATAATCTATCAGAATAAAATTTAGGTGTTCCAACATATTCTTCTAAATTATCAGGTGTTACTGATATCGTATCAACTTTATCATGTACTATTTTATACGCTGACTTTCTATAGATCTAAAACAAACAACATAATATCAAAATAATCCATTGCCTATGTTGAATCTAATATATTACATGTTTAACTTGATGCCACAAAGCACCAGAAAGTATGGTTCTGTCGAGGCCTCTGATAGACAGTATTGGCTGGCATATAATCCAATCATTACAAACTGATATAAGAAAGGCAGTCATGGTATAAGAACAAAGTTCGTAGTAGCTTGACATAGTGAAGATGACAGGTACACTTATATTTTTTTTGCTTTTCACTCTACAAGTATTAATTTTAATTACCATGTAGGGATAATTCAGTATTTTTAATTGGGGTGATATTACTAAAAACATCAATTAATTTTCTGTGTAAATAAAGTCATAACATACCTTTTCTACTTGTTTTTGAAGATTTCTAACACCACTTTCTCGACAATAAGATTTGATTAGGATATTCATAGCTTCATCATTAATATTAACTTTATTATCAGTTAAACCAGTATGTTCTTCAGCTTGTTTTACTAAATATTTCTATAATGAAAAAAAAGAAAAGACAGTTATCACAAGGATGTATGTACTAATTTTTAGCCAGCAGTAACACTTTTCACAATAACCATCTAAAGCCAGTTACCAAACATTTCATTAAAACCAACCACTTTCATCTCTTCTTAGCTGTTATCATCATTTTCTCATTCCAATATCACCTTTACACCGGTAAAAAATGCCTGTGAAAATGCTTACGATAACTTTGAAATTCCGAGCGTACATTTAAATATAATTGTAGGAGAACTAGGTGTAGATTTTGAATTTTGAAACTCAATTGAAAAGCTTAAATTGAGAAATTTGTTACAAATATTTCTTTTTTTCCACCTAATTCCTTCATAGAAATTTTATATGCACCATGTCTAAATGGCCAAAAGGATCAAAATTTCATATCTACTGGCAGCATCAGACTCTAAATACTAAATACTCTATACAACTAGGCTAGAAATCTTCCATGTACATTTTCTCTTCTTGAGATAATATTGATTATCCTTCTAATATCTTACATTTGCAATGGCTAATTTTTCTTCAGCTACATAGCCTGATACATCTATTAATTCCATTCTATCTCGTAATGGTTCAGGTACTGTTTCTAATACATTAGCTGTACAGATAAACAAAACCTACAATTATAAACAATATACAAACATTATTTATATTAATTCCATTCTATCTTGTAATGGTACATCCTCCAGATTGTATGTAATGAAGAAATCTTTCTATGGTACAGAGGAAAGATCAATAACTCTTTTTCCATCACAACTTGATATCACAAAGCACCTCATTTTTTTAACCAATCAACATTATATTATACCCTTCTCATCTATAGAATGAAGAACTATAGATTCAATACAAATACCAACCTTCGACATATCAACAGTAACATCTAAATAATGGTCCAAGAAATTAGCATTTTGTTCAGGATCTAATAATTCTAATAAAGCTGAGGATGGATCACCCTGACTACCTCGACCTATTTTATCAACCTGAAGAATACAATAATAGGGAGTTTTAAATATACCATAACTCTAGAAGTACAACAATCAGTTTGTCACCATGTGAAATGACAATTTTATTGCATCATCCTTCGCTCAAGATTTAATAAGATTAGCGACAGATCACACAGTCTCCAGTAGCTGGCTTGTTCACTTGTTACAGAACATGCAGTAACTGAGGAATTTATTCATATTTCTGTTTTCTTCTGAAAGCTTTTCATTGCTATCCTGACAGAGATTCAATAATGTCAAAATGGTGGCCTTCTCGAACGGCTTGAACCTTCCAGTTGAGGTAAATCTCGTTTAATTTTGTGTTTTATCAGTCAATTTTTCAGGTTTTCATATTCAAAAATACAATTCGGCAGATAAGAAGCAAGAATTTCTCTTGCAACAGTTGATGCTTTAAATAAAACTCTTACTTCGTCTATCAGAATTAAAGGATTCTCAGATTTTGTTTTCTTCAAACATTGAATCAATTTACCAGGCATGGCGCCAACATATGTCCTCCTGGAATAAATTTACAACTTAAATATATAGTACAAGTAAATTCTAAGAGACCAACTAAAGTAAAATCTTTTTACGAAGTAATAATGAAATTAGAATCATTAGGCCTACACTTAGTAATTTATAATAAATTTAATTTACCTATGTCCCTTAATTTCAGCTATATCACTCATACCACCTACACTGAATCTAAAATACTGAAATTGATAAATAGCATACATAATACTAAATTCATTGATCACTGTCTTTCATGGTCAACAATGTCTTTCTTGATCACTTATGTCTTACATGATCAAAAATTTCAATCGTGATCAACAATGTCCTTGATTAACCAAATGTCTTTCGTGATCACTAATGTCTTTCATCATCAACAATGTCCTTCATCATCAACAATTTCTTTCACGATCAACAATGTCCTTTATAATCAACATTGTCTTTCATAATCAACAAATACCTTTATGATCAACGATGTCCTTCATGATCAACATTAATTTTCATAATCAACAATGTCTTTCATAATCAACAATGTCCTTCATGATCAACATTAGTTTTCATGATCAACATTAGTTTTCATGATCAACATTAGTTTTCATGATCAACAATGTCATTCGTTATCAACAATGTCTTTCATGATCAACCATTTTTGTCATCATATTGTCTTAATGCAGCACATTCTATTTTTAGATAATACAAAATCATTAAATTACACATACCTGTCTATTTAGAGCCCGAGCTATAGATTTAGCTATACTTGTTTTTCCAACTCCAGGTGGACCATAAAAACACAATATTTTACCCTGAACTCTTCCTTTTATATTACTCACTGCTATAAATTCCTGTCAATATATCATAATAATTAGGAAATATAGAAATATCCAATGTTATATCATCAGTCACAAAAAAGTCTTGAATCCGTGAAGTTAGAGCTTTAGAATTAATTCAGTTGTGGCAAAGACATGGGAATCATCTGTGTCAATCTTCAACTAATTACAGCCTTAAAACACTCCTGTCAAAGTCTTGAATCAGCCATCTAGAATCAGCCATGCATAAGTCTAGAATCAATCATGTATAAGTCTAGAATCAGCCATGCATAAGTCTAGAATCGGTCATGCATAAGTCTAGAATCGGTCATGTATAAGTCTAGAATCGGTCATGTTTAAGTCTAGAATCAGTCATGTTTAAATCTGGAATTTAACACGTCAATGTTTAAAGTCAGTCAAGTTAAAGACCTAATCATTAATTAGAACAGAATCAATCTAATATGGATATAGTTAAAGCAAAGCATGTCTTCAATATAAACTCATCATATACTTTAACAAAATTATGTAACTAACCAATATTCTCTTTTTAACATCTTCCATTCCATAATGATCTTCTTCTAATATTTCTCTAGCTTGTTTTAACTCCAAGTTTTCATCAGTTTGTACTCCCCATGGTAGACATGTTAACCAATCTAAATAATTTCTAGTCACACTGAAAAAAACAATACATATTCTTGAATGTAAGAATTAATGTACAAGGACAGTAAAAAGAAACTTGCATGTTTTATGGTGTTTTTAGCCTAGAAATGTCAAAATATATGAATATAATTGAACATATTGTATGTCCTGGACTACAGATTCCTTACTTATAAATATAAAACAATTTCACATATTCTCTGATTAAAAGCTTTGTTATCAATTTAAATCATTTAAAACAGAATTGAAAAAGATTGAAGTAAGGTGATCTTGGATAAAATTGTTAGAATACAGAATACAGTACATATATTATCCATCCAAAATGTGAACAAAATAAGTGGTATCTTACTTGAACTCTGAAGAATGATGATCTAAATAAGATAGTTTACTAATTTCTTCTTTAATAACTTCCATAACATGATCAGGTACAATAAGGTTCTAGAATATCAAAATACATATAATCTAATCTACTACAGATTTTAAAGCATTGGCAATTAAGCTGATTCCAGAATATTACCATAAATATATAATTTAATTAATTTCAATTAGATCAGTTCTTTAAAATAATATTTAATTAAATTTGTTTTCTTTTAAATTGTTTTGAACAGGATAGCAATTTAAATAATGTGTCTTTACCTTCAGACGAGCTTGAAACTTTTCAACTATAGCATCCTTATCATCTTTCTCTAAACCTAGTTCCTTCTTGATAATTTTTAATTGTTCTTTCAGTATATATTCTCTATGTTGTTTCTTTACCTTTTCTTCTACCTGTAGGTTAAATTGAATGGGTTCTTTATTATCCACGGCTTTTGTTTTTAGAATTTCCAACTGGACAACACATAAGTTAAGCTGATGTACCAATTTTCATTGAAAATTTTTGAAAAAGGAAAAAAGTTAGCACGTCTGCATAGAAAATTGCAGTCAGTCATTTTAAAGCTCCAATCAGACATGAATTGCAAATACAGATAAATCAACATTGATAAATTGTAATACAATAAGTTACTAAACGATCAAATGGCATTTCATTGTCATGTTTATGGATTTGGCAATGATGTTATTGTTTAATCTTTCCATTAAAAAGGTGTTTTCCAAGAATCAAAATGAATTCAATCATTCATACACATGACTAGCTATTCAGAAGATGTATTAGTATAAGTTATTTAGAATATTCTATAGCACAGTAAAAGATAATTCAGGTACATGAGTAATGTATTTTGGTAAGAATTAGTACTAGCTAAAAATTAACAAGAAATATCAGCAATTAAAGAAGTATCTACAGCAATCATTTGCAAAAAATAATCATTTAGAATAATGACAACAAATTACTATCATTTACCTCTCTTCCAATCTTCTTCTGAAGTTTACTTAATTCTAATTCTTTCTTTAACAATGATAATGCTAACATCATTCTATTTGGTACCTACAATAAGTTCATGGAATCAAATAATAGGTTCACAATCTTCCTTATGTCATATGTTTCAGATGTCTATTGTCAAGGAAACCAATATTCAAAAAAATATACATCCATGGTAGACATTTAGATCAAGGCTTTTAAAAAGTTTGTCAAATGTGTAAAATACAGGATTACCACATCATTATTTGTTTCTAAAGTTTCAATTAATGTTCTTACATTAGTTTCTTCTATAACTTTCTGTAATTCTTCAGGATCCCCAGATGTCAATGCAGCACCTTCAAAGTAATTGTAGAAAATATGAGAATAATGCATCAAAAACAATAATTTAAGCATCAAACAAGCATAATTATACCCAGCTAGCTTGACAGATACGTAAACACACATCCCAAGGGACAACAAGAACAAGCTTATTGGTAGCCGAAGGAGTGGACAGAGGGATGAAACCTATTATGTGGCATGGGAGAGGGGCAACTAATCGAATCGACAGGTCAAGTAAAACAGCCTGTGAGAATATAATGTAACGTAACCAGTCAAAGTTTCCATGCAAAATATTTCTTTTCAAAAATCTGAACACTTCGACAAAGAAGGGATGACAAAAATATGCTAGTCACCTTGTGTTTGGACAAAGTCACATTTGATAAAGTATGTGGCATTATATAAATTATCACACCATTAATATTCCACTCAACATGTAGATTGTGAAAACCAACTTTCACTTGTATACCTTCATACCAAGATTTATGAAAATTGGTAGAAAACTATTGCACTTTCACTATTGCAGATCATGATGGTTAAATATCAATATAGTTTTAAACTGCACAACTTTATTTTTAATCCCAAACCTACATGCCATGTTTTAAGCATTTTTAATATGTGAGATCAGGGAAAGTTAAATTTGGAAAACACTAACTACATTTTATTTTCATATATACACATACCAAATTTGGGAAAAACTCTAGATTTTAGATGATTAGCTAGATAATCTGAACTGAATGAACAGCCAGATGGACATGGGACAACAATAAAGGTCCACAGCTATATGTGAAGGTAAAAAAAATGTCAAGGAATGTGTCCCTATACAAATTGAAGAGCAAATGTACTGATCAATTTTTTCTTATTGTTTCATTTCATTATGATTGTAATTCCTTTTGTCTCCTTAAGAGAGTGTGAATAAAGTTATTATCAATATTTTTTGATTCTTCATCCCATGTGCTTGATACCATGTTTTATAAAAATCTGTTCTGTATATATCGAAATAGTTTAAAATTTTTACTCAATAAGAATATTATAATATGTTTGCAAATTAAAATCACACTTACATAAAAAATATTGCAAATTTTGAAATGATGTATTTCAGATTGACATGTGAGACAATATATATTACTCAAGCATATCAATTCATATGATCACTCTTATGCGATAAAGCATGTTTTGACATGATTGAAACATAAATGTTAGTCAAAGAGCAGTGACAGTGCTAGCCTTCCGAGACTGGGGATACAAAATGGGGACTGTTCAACTTGATAGGTTGGAATTCAAAATATGGCAGCTCATAGGCGGGAGCCTCTGATGAAAGTCTTAGAGGCTCTCCACAAATACTCCCTCTGTATCCCTCCTGGCACAGGTACTGTCAAACAGTATAGCTTCTATACAGGCAATACTTTGGACATATTTGAAATTTCTTTATAAACAGGAGAAATTTCAATGAAAACAATAAATTCCATATTCTTTTAATTCTAAAATATATACCATAACAATATTCAAAATTTTGCATGCTACATTTAGCTTCAAAGACATACAACTCTCTATTCATCTACTTAAACCTTTATTTAGGTTGTTTGTAATATTTAACAATGCCTTTTTTTGGTATTACTGGAAATCTAGAATCTTTAGTAAAGAAACTGAGTTCTTTCAGTGTTTATGTAAACAATATAATTATTTGGATTCTGTAACGGTCTTTTTCTCAGCATTTCTAATTTCTTCTTCTGAACTCATATCTACAAAACATACACAATAAAATCAATTTTCATCATTGTACATATTACTTACATACTATTTATCATGTACCTTACTAATTACTGTATGTGAATGTTCCTCTTGAACAACTGTTACAACTCCATCAAGCTGTTGAAAATCAAGGTGTATAAAACCTAGGAATATATATGTTAGGTACATTAGAGTAAGTGTAGAGTTAAGATTAGTAATGTTGCTAGATTTTTCACACCAAAGAAATCTTATGTCAAAATATGTTTCCTTCAAATCAAATATTAGATATCAATTTTCATTTCTTATTCAAGGCACATAATTCTTTAAAACTTTTCCTGTTATGTTGAATTTGCCAGTCATTTAATGTTCCCTTTTAATATGGGTGTAACTAGTCTTTTTTTCTAAACAATATATTATATAATATTTAATGGCAATTCTGTCCAGTGTGCAATGAGGGAATTTTGACAGGACAGTAGCATTAACAATCTGAACATATATTCTTCATTTACATGTCTTAAATCACCTTAAAGCCTTAATCCCACAGATTGTCGCATCATCAGAGTTTAGTACGACACACAAAATAAACTCCAAGGTACATTGAACACATTATCATTCAGTGTTATTCTTATTCTATATTATAACATTATCATTGAGTGTTATTCTTATTCTATATTATAACATTATCATACAGTGATTTTCTTATTCTATATTATAACATTATCATTGAGTGATATTCTTATTCTATATCATAATATTATCATTGAGTGTTATTCTTATTCTATATTATAATATTATCATTCAGTGTTATTCTTATTCTATACTATAACATTATCATTCAGTGTTATTCTTATTCTATATTATAACATTATCATTCAGTGTTATTCTTATTCTATATCATAACATTATCATTCAGTGTTATTCTTATTCTATATTATAACATTATCATTCAGTGTTATTCTTATTCTATATTATAACATTACCATTCAGTGATATTCTTATTCTATATCATAACATTATCATTCAGTGTTATTCTTATTCTATATTATAACATTATCATTCAGTGTTATTCTTATTCTATATTATAACATTATCATTCAGTGTTATTCTTATTCTATATTATAACATTATCATTCAGTGTTATTCTTATTCTATATCATAACATTATCATTCAGTGTTATTCTTATTCTATATTATAACATTATCATTCAGTGTTATTCTTATTCTATACTATTACATTATCATTCAGTGTTATTCTTATTCTATAGAATATGGTTTAATTAATATTTATCAAAACTAAACCTCCCTGAAATCTTTTTGATTTTTACAGGATGTTTGATTAGATTCATGCTCTTAAATGCACTTTGAATGCATTTTGTCTTAATAACAATATTATTCTGAAATAAAGACAATGTAAGGATAGATAGATAATTAGCAAATTATTGATGTTGATTTGAATTGAACAACAATCAAGATAGTGAATGCAATAAATTGAACTATTAAGATAGTTATAATCAGTTTCTACATTTTAAAGTATAAATTTTGTTCTAAAAAATTCAAATCAATGAATACTTACCTGAAGTGAACTGATTCTAAAAAATTCTCTATTTCTGCATCTGAGCAAACTTTTCTGTTATGTTGCTGACATGACAACAAGAAGTGAACTCTGGGAAGTCTGCAGTCACACTGAACAAACAATATAGCTGCATTGAGGTTTCTACCCTATACTGATTTCAGCTCACCCCCAAAACTATACAGATGTATAGAGGTCTGTATCCTATTCTGATTTTATTTCACTCACTAACAATACAGTTGTAGGAGTTCTCTTGCCTAAACTGATTTCAGCTCACCCCCAATCATTGCAAGTGTAGAGTCTCTACCTTACATTGATGTCAGATCACCCCCATGTATTGTGAATGTGGTATTTGTTTAAATTTCTAGAATATACCCTGACCAAAATTCACTGTTCAATCTAACCCTATAAACTTTAAAAGCTTGCCAGGCAACTTGATAATATATGATTACTGCATATTTGCTTTTATTCTAGAAATTTGTATGCATACTTTTATCAATATCAAATGAAGCAATTAATCAATACATCAGAAAAATGTAGAGGATAACTCATTCTCATTTTTATCCAGCAAAGTTTACATGTCAAAGACTTCTAATATATTTTTTTTCTAGGCTTGGCCATGAAGTAAATTAAAATAACTGGAGACTTATAAGCAACATATAAACCATTTTCACAATGTCAAGCTATTACATACTTATACCCTGACTGCAATAGCTATTCTTGTATCAAAGAATGCAGTGATTTGATACCAAATAATCACAGTCCTGGGCAAAAAGTCTGCGAACACAAAGCCATAATGCTTTCAGCCTTTTTGTTCAAGATATTGGTGAAACTGAAACCAGACTGATATCTTTGTAAATAATGCTTGTTTGTATGTTTGTCTCTTTCTATTGTCTGAGCAAAGTGAATAGTTTTTGATATTTGTATATTATTTTTATGAGAATAAGAAAAGCAGCATCAAAATAGTACTGTTCATCTTAGAATGTCTTTGCTTTGATAAAAATATAACACATAAGAACACATGTCAAATTTGTTTTTGCAGAGGACAATTTTCAGACAAAATTTCAGATTTTTTTCGGTTGAAATTTTTACGGGACAAATGTGTTTCTTTTTAATGTAAACTTACACAAATTATATTATCAACGCAAAGACATTCTAAGACAAACAGTACTATTTTGAGGCTGATATTCCAATTCTCTTAAAATAAATAGACAAAATTCAAAAATGCTTTTTGCTTTGTTTAGACAATAGGAATTGTTTATCACAGCTGACATTTATACTACAGTGGACTGGGCTACATGTAGCGGAAACATGTGATTTAATGAGTTTCCATATAGTTGAAACATGCCATACCGATCATAATAGACCTTATTCACACTTGGTTTTTGAGGCCTTTGTTTGTTTGCATTATGAGCCTTGTTCTGGATCCAATATGGCAGACGTGCGAATAAGGTCTATCCCTTTGTATTACAAAGAAGATCTACAAATTTTTCCAATAATTGATCTTGAGAAAAAACAGAAAATTAATAAACCACTTTCAATGCAAACTTTAGAATGTTTGAAATGATTTTATATATTGATCATTTCTAATGGTAGTTTTCTAGTAGTAATACATTGTACTCACTTAAATCACTCATATATATAGCATCATCACTAACTTTCTGTCCAGCATGTAATACATGATGTAACATTTCTCTAAAATAACACAAAACATAATGTAATATCAAAACTCTACATATTCTTACAACTGATACTAACAAGTATTCATCCTTTTTCAACTGAATGCAGAACTGTTAATTTCTGTCAAATTCTAAATTTCTGCAAATAAAGGAATTATTGAAGACTGCAGTCTCAAAGAACAACTAGAGTCTTTGAAGGGATGAAATAGAAGTAAATATTTACCTATAGATTGGATTGAGAGCTATAATATCTCTGATGGTCTGCACCATTTCTGATGTCATTGCCTGGAATATTATATCAAATCAAAAAATATACATTGTGCTGAATGTTTGACATGACTATGTGGCTTTGTTGTATTTGACCTAATTCTGACCGATATAAATAAAGAATTTCATCATTTTTGATTACTTTAATACATTTTAGCTGTATCACCTGTTTCTTGTTAACACAGATTTCTTTTGTTTAAATTTTAAACTCAAAATGAAATAATATTACCTTGATTTCATCATTTTTAATATATTCATCATGATTAAAATTCTCTACTTCCACCATTAAAACATTCTCAATTTTGGACAGCAATTCAGACTCTTCATCTTTTACAACATATGTATTTGTTTCTTTTGGAATGTCTTCCTCCACAAAAGATGACTTTACATCATTCTTCCTTCCATTTCTTCTTCTCCATTTCTTCCTGACAGTGACCTCTGAAAATTAAAGAAAATTACAAAACTCCTCAAAATCTAAAGAATAGTAAATGCTACAAATGGACATGAATAGCCAATATAGAGAGACTGATTTCTATTTTTAGAGAGACTGATTTCTATTTTTAGTTAGGGTATAAGTATCTAAGGTAGCGCTCAATTGGGGAGTTCTAAATATATTCCTTCTGTTCCAATTCTAGCCTCAATCAAACAGTACGGAAAGGTCTATGTCACTTTCAAAATTCGAAATGAATTACAAGATGAATAATGAACTAATGATACCTGGTGTAGGAATTTCTTCATAATCCTCTGACAGCAATCCCACAATTTTGATTCTGAAAAGAAATTTTAAATGTGTTTCAAAAACAAAGTGTTATGCACAGCAGCAATTCTAATCATTGGGTGTGGAGGCAGATTGAGGGCCACAGTGATTCATACACCTGAAGCATATAGAATGAAAGAAACAACTATATTTTACAAGGATAACAATTTAGGTTCACAGTTAAAAACCAAACCGTTTGGCAATTGGCATTGATCATTCCTGGAGTATCCCTACCCATTTACAGCTGGGTTGGCTGGAATAATGGGTGAAAATGACTCATCAGTCATCAAACTTTCACACCAACCCACAGATACTCAGATAGTACTATAGAATGAATGTGTTTCACAGACACAATGAAAAGTGAATCTCCGAAAGGTGGACAATGTATTGAAATGAAATATAGAACATTCCATAAAAAATATCTTTTACCTTCTGTGACCAGATACTAATAATCTCAATTTATCACCCTGATCAACCATTTCTTCTATCTTAACAAATGTTCCAACTTGATAAATTTCATCTAATGATTTCACAACTTCATTTTCATTGCTGAAATATAACATCAAAACAATTCAAGCATGTATAAGGTATTCAATATTATAACTGTCCAATCAAGAAAGTAGTGAAATATTAATTCAGATGTCAATAATGCAAAAGATATTTGTCAGAAAACAACCATCTTTGGCGAAATGTTATAGCGATGGTCTGATTGCGTGATCTTCACAGATAGGGGATGAAAGTCAGTACCTGGTGTCTCCACCTTTTGTGTTGATAATTGTCTGTAGATGGAGTAGACAAACAGTTTACAGATGTTTCTGACATTAATGAAGAGTGACCCCTGTAAGGGTGGTGACTAGACTTGCGAGCTGATTATGAATATTGTCAGCACTGATGGTTTACTAGCTGATATTGTACAGAAAACACATGTTTATCAAAACAAGCAAATGCGGAGGTCACGCAAGGTCGCACATGTAAAATAGGTTACCACGAAATTAGGTTACTTGACTGTATAATATTGCAGCCCCAAATAGTATCAAAAGTACTGTAAAACTATCTGCAGTTATATTTACCTTTCATCCTTCTTAAGAAATATACCAGCATAAGGCAGTTTAAGGTTAACTTTTCTTCTTAGATTATCTACCAGTAGTTTGTCTGATACCTACAAATAATATTATTACTTTGAAGATATGCCTGAATTAAAACTGCCAATCCAGGCATGGGTCGAGATAATACCTTTTACTTGATTTTCCCAATCAGGTTTCTTCCATGTCAGTGATGCAAATTGAAGGTCTGACATTTAAAAAGTGCCAGTTGTTGCGATTTTGATGGGATAGGCAGGTCTACTGCAGACTGCCCACTTTGATAATTGGAAATTGAAAAAGAGTAGAGGAATGCCGCTGTCCTGGCAAAATATCAATGCAATGTCATTCTAAGATTATCGGAACTGTTTTGAGGCATATTTTCAAATTCCCTTAAATAAAATGGACAAAATTAGCTTTAACAACAACCTTGCTCAAACAATAATTTCAATTGTTTAACAAAGCTTTGACTATATTTAAAAGTTCAATGAAGTTTAAATTTATAAACGTAGGTCATATGGCATAAGCTTTCGTAGACTTACTTCGAGCATTTTATGAAATTTGGGAAAGACTGGGTTTCTGGTGATGGCAATTACTGGAATTTTTGGGAAAACATCAGGTACACTATTTGCTTTTACAGCTGTCATAGGATTTGATCTTGGAGTGATACTATGAACAGTAAGGGGAGGTTCGTTGGGATCTGGGACAGCTGAATAATTCCCATCATCTCCTTCATCATCATCTTTCCCATCATTATCTCCACCACCACTTGAGGCTTCTGATGAAAAATGTCTTGCAGCTGTCAAGTATTTCGTCGAAGGAATTAAGGATTTGTTTTTTTGCCAGTATCTAAATGAATCATTATGTAAACCACTAAATTTGGAAGATAATGCGGATGATGTAACTGCTGAAGCTGAAGCACTGTTGTTGATAGAGTAACTTCGAAGATGTGTGTAAATGTCAATTTTTCGTCCACATTGACAGGTAAAACCATTTGTTTCCAATAAAAATTTATTTGATCTCGTCCTTAATTTCAATATTGGTTGCAAACCAACCAATTTATTGTTTATTTGGGCGAAATTATTGGAGCAAATACATTTCAAGCGAAGAAAGGATGCCATGTTGGATTTTTCACATGCGACTTCCGCTTTATTGGTATCGCCTAAAACCAATTTGTGGTTACATTTTCTGAAGAAATTTATCCGTCTTGTGAGTACGAACTCGCTAAATCGTGCTTCTTAGTTGGAGTTGAGACTTGAAAGCATTGTTTTGCTGTAGATCAAGAAGAATAATTAATTAAAAATGGAATCTGGGGTAAGACCACAGACACAACATCAATTTTGTATGGAGAATCGAGGCCTTAAACTAAGAAAAAATACATGCATGTTATTGATGTATACATCAACTCTAAAAGTAAAATACTGTTGAAAGTCTTAAATTGTCGTCTAAGATAACGTTCTAAAACTGACTAAAGCTAAACTATTGCAAACTGTTTATTGGCGTATCCCACAAAAGTTAAGACGAAGCTGCATGATTTTCATAATGATCAGATATTATTTTTTTTATTAATTAACAGTGATGGATCACCTCTACCAAATACTGTCTATCTTTATACCTATAATACAATCAATGTCTTTTAGTAATTTATCATATTTTGAATTTTTTTTGTATTTAAATTATAGGATGATTGTTAAGTTTCAAAAAATATTTTACTTCAAAATAAGGAAGTGATTTGCCAGCTTCTACGGAAACTGCCACAATCAATTAAATTGTTACAAAATTGAAAAGGTAAATACTGATTACTAATTGGTGTTCAGGTAGGACCTATTAGAGTTTATGTTCAGATTTAAGGTTTTTATACTGACTTACTATTTGACATTATAGATTATGTCATTCCTGATAATTGGGGTATTTTTTTTTTTTTTTAAATGGAAAAAACAACATTAGGCAGAAATAAATGGAAGTATCATTAAAAACATGTTGAGGCAAAAAATCTGTTTTTACCTGATTTTTTTTTTACAAAAAAAGATACTTTTCATATGAGTTCTGTATGAAAATAATTGTCACCTTGGAACAAATTTAAAAACTTATTACATTTGCTTCATTATTCTTGAAAACACAATAGTATGCTTGGTCATTTTTCTTGTGGGTAGTAATTTTCCAATTTCTGTGAGCTTATTGGTTAAGATTTGGTCAACTAACATGATTTGAGCTTAAAAGAGAGTATTACCTTACTTTATATTGCAAATTAATTAATGGCCTACGGCACTTAAAGAATATTTGTAGTTATTTCATTTTTTGAATTTTTAACATTTAATTTTTTGTAGGTGTTAATTGATAAACAGTACTGTTCTGTACTAGTTTATATAGTTACTTCTATTAAATTGTCTATCATTAAAAAAAGGTATGTTCATGTTATTTGTCTTAAGGTGCAGGCACACGAAAAGCCTTGGTCACTAATTTTTGTAGCCGATTCGAATCTTGAGTAAAATCTCACATGTGTTCGCGCTTCCATGACAAGATTATCATATTGCCAACAGGATTTGTAATATCAAACCAGTTTGATAATTGTTACAAATTGTTTTTTCCAATCAGATTTATTTTCCTTTCAATTGCATAATAGGCACGTGATGAGGCCTGGGTTAAATAATCTATTATTGTCGCTACGAATGTATAATTTTGATTATATGTCAAAGTTACATTATCTCCACTGTACCTGTTAACAAGTAGTAATCTCTTCCTTTAGCACAAAACTTACCCAAGATAATCTATAAGAATGAATTTACTTCAATGACACAAAATTAACCTACTAAAATTATTTTGATTGTCAATCGATTACAGATTGGTAGTCTACCATTGATAATCGATCTCAATTTTGTAATACCTTGCCCGACCCGTGATTATCAATGTAATGGAAAAGGCTGACTGGAGATTTTATGTGTGACTCCTGATGTGCCCCCAGCTGGTGGATGAAACTCATGACAAGACTATTCTGTGACACAAATCGCCATCCAAGACGTGTGCTTAGCATATAGTATTGTTCTATTTACATATTATTGATTTACATAAACTACCTAGTTGAGATTTATATTATAGACTTTATAGCTTCTCTTATATTTACAGAAGAAAAGTTAGTCAAGATGCAGAAGGATTATTTTGAAGGATATGAAGGTATGTGTTATATTTGTATTTTATCTAAACATGTCAAATTCTGAGGTTTCTGCACCCTAAAAGGGATTGTTAAGAGGTTTTCTAAATTTTTTATGTATACACACATACAAAGTATAGAAAACCTCTTTACAATCCCTTTAAGACAGCTTAAATTTTGAAGGGTTGATTTTTTAATTTTACATAGATGAATACAATATATTTCCACTTAAGACCTTGTTTTTCTTTTTACTTTTAGGTGGTTATACCAACCAGTCTGGTTCAGCCAATGATGGTAAGGTCTTTTTTATATCATAAAGGCTTATATTATTGAGAGTGAAGTACTAAATGTACTTTGTTGCTTGTATTTACATTACATTTATTTTGCAACATCTCATTTATAATAAAAGTAACGTGATTGTTTATTAACACAGGGGTTCTGTATAACAGTTTGAGTTGTGGAAAATTTACATGACATTATTTGCCTGTTAATAATGGTAAAACGTGGTTTTTCTTTCATTGAATCCTACTATAGATTAAAGATCACATGATAATTGATGGTAGTAAGTTATGGCATTAGATTCTGCAATGTGCTCTAATGTTTGGCTGATTGTTGTGGCTAACGTCTTTCTCGATCCTGTATTTGTAGTTGGTGGAAAGAAGAGGGTGTTAGATTCCAATTCAGATGGTAATAAAAGAAGTAAAACCTCCACCACTGGAATGGATGTCTCCACATTGAATGAAATGGTAAAATATAACCAACAACAATTTTCTACGATTACTGATAGTGACCTTTCCATAGAAGAAAAGCAAGAAAAATTGAAGAAAGTTATTGAGAGACAGTCTATGTTGTTAGAAATGCAGAGTGAAATGATAAAGAATGAGCAATATTCAGATGACCCTATGGAAGGCAAAGACAGTGGTAGTGCTAGGGGATCTCATATGGACAGGGGTCCTCCCATGGGAAGAGGACCACCTAAGCGTATGGGACATCCAATGGGTATGGGACCTCCAATGAGTATGGGTCCTCAAATGGGAAGGGGTCCACCAATGGGAAGAGGTCCACCTATGGGAAGAGGTTCCCCAATGGGATTTGAGCCACCTATGGGTATGGGTCCTCCTATGGGAAGAGGTATGGGTGGGCCACCTATGATGGATGGTGGAATGCATAGAGGAGGTGGTGGTATGATGGGTCTGGGAGCTCGAGATTTCAGAAAAGGATTTAATTTCAACCAACACTTTATGAATTATGATGATGCTCCACCACCACAATCTCAAAACATCAGCATTGAGGAGAAGTTCATGTATTTTAAAGATCTACTATTGGATCAGTTTGATCCAGCTTTGACATGTTTCCAAATGATAGAAAAAGGACGTAGAAGTATTGATGATGTTATGATGAAGGTTCGCACAGATTATCGATTTGACCGACATGATGACCAAGAAGGATCAGAAATTCATGGTAAACTGAAGATTTTGGGCGTTGCTATTGCTAAGGCTTGTGGAAGTCATGAAAAGATGGTTCGTGAGGAAGTCTTTCGACGAGCCTTATATATTCTTCATACCAAAACAGTTAGTGAAATCTTACAGATATCAAATGAAGAAAATGAAAGTGAACGACCACTGAAGTTTGTGTACAGCTATAGTAAACAACAGTTATTAAAACTTTACAGAAAGATGCCAAAAACTGACAATCCAAGAGACATCATACGAGATTTGGACTTCATTTGTTCCATGACTGGTATACAAATTACCTGTGTTCTATATCGAGGAGATACAGAAGAAAATAAAGTAAAGTGTGATGTGTATACAGATGATTGTTTTCTGGGCTCTGGTGAAGGACTAGAGAGAAAAGAAGCTATCAAGAAGGCTTATCTGAATGGTTATGAGCGATTACGTTCTAAAACTTTAGATGAATTAGTCAATGACTACAAGAAATTGATTGTATTAAATCGCCAAGATTCCAAAATTCTAGATATTTTGGTAAAGGGAAGGTTCTATGAAGTTGGTAGTAATATTGGAGGGTTGATCTCGAAAAGAGCTAAGGAAGATCAAGGTTCAGATGGACAAAATGAAGTGGTTGTTATGATTCAGACTGGTGAACAGGAACCAGTACCATATAAAGTATTAGAAACCACAGCAACAGCTAATAATCTATTGGTAGAATACGTTCTTCATTCTTCAGATAAAGTTAGAGATTGTAAAGACTTTAGGTAGATTTACTTTCATTTCTTATTCAAGATTTCGAATCACTGATGAAATAGTACAAATCCACTAAAACTACCTCATATTGCTCATTGGCATTTTGGAGATATCAGTAATGACTTGCTAATATAGTCCCATTCATATTTCTGGTATGGACATGAATTTATGTTGAACACAATAATTTAATAACACAGCTTTGAGGAATAACGATTTACTCCCATCAATAATTGGTTACAACTTAACACATCACAAGTACTATCTAATTTAAGTTGTATACAATCAGTGTTAATGGTTGTGTATTTGAATAAAAGTTCTATTTAAGATTATATGATAATATTTGTAGATGTTTGATGTACATTAATGGTAAACTGATATCATGTTCCATTGGTCAGAATAAACCACAAGCTAAATTTAGTGCTGCTGAATGTGCTGTTAGAGAATTAACTTGTAGATATTCATTAATAGAGGTATAGTATAAAGATGTTTCCTAAAATTTGTATTTGAGACACTGATAGCATTGATTTGCACCATTCCATTTTATAATCAGAAGTCTGTGAACCACAGTCAACTGATTGAAAATTGGAATGGTGCAAATCAATGCTATCAGTGTCGGCAATTCACAAAATTTTAAGAAAACCTCCTTACAATCCCTTTAATATCTCAATTTGCTTTGTGATAAAAAAACATTGTATAGCTTGCTCACTCATATTGGGTACTGACTTTCGTAAAATAGTCTTACATTCTTTACAGCTTATAAAAAGAGTAGTGAATTATCAGTTGCAGTTGAAATTCTTCCATGCAATTTACAGCTTATTCACTTATGTTAACACGACCCATTTTAAACTTGTCAAATATTCAACAAAGTGCATTTAATATTCTATTTTAGTACATAACAAGGAGATATATAGCTACTACTTCTAATGAAGATCTGATAGAGATGGCCATGACTTTAAAACGATCTGGTAGAGATATTAAAGATGAAATTCCTGCAGAATTTATAAATAATCCAACTGGTGATGAACTGGACCCATTTATCTACAGAATATTGGAAAATATGATTCTGGACTACTCAAGTTTGGAAACTTTAGAGGAACTCATCTTTGGACCAGATCTTCCAGACCTGGTGCTTGAACATTTGGTGAAGAAGTGTAAAGAATGGAATGTGGATGGTAATAAGAGAACTACTGGTGGACATAATTACCTTGTTATGCACAAGATTAAACAGTTCTCAGCATCACAAATGTGTGATTACCTCCTATCACAGCCCAGTTTTACTTGTGGTCGGTACTGTTTAATTCATATGAGACAACCTAAAGGACGTTTACAGTTCCTCAATGAATGTTCTAGTGACATTAAGAGATATATGATATCAGATGATGATGATAATAGAGATATTCCAGATGATTTGGGACTTTTTGATTGAGTGTTCATCACTATATTTTATAAGCATAAGTATTTTTGAATGAAAAAAGAATATTTGTCGTAATGTATGTTCAATTTTTGTTTAGATTCAAGTTTTAATGTTAATTCAAATAAGACAATGGTTTTATTTGTTCTAAAAGGGATTTTGTTTTTTAGGAAAAATCTCAATATAAGAAATATTGATTATGCAATAGTTTGAAGTTTTATTACCAGAAAAAGACATCTGTGAACATATTAAGCATGGTGCTTGAGAAGATGTGTAAATATCAATCAGATCCAATTGTTTGTCGTTAAAATGTCAACCTTTTTATTTCATCTCCAATCAGCCATTAAATTCAACATAATAGATGAATAGTAATTGTTAAATGTATTTTATCAGCTCTTATAATGAAAATATAATATCAGGAAAGATGATATAAAAATTGAATGTGTAACTTTGTCTATGTTAAATAATGACATATTATAATATCATGGTCTAACATATTGTGGTCTTGAAATAACATGTCTTATGAAGAGTTATCTCCCTGTGTTTATCGGCCACTGAAGTAATGACGAAGTGTCAATTGGAATCTATCCTTTGAAACTCGCCCCCCATCACAACAATAAATTGACTTACAGTGAAATACATAAATCAAATGTTTGCCGTCTATATTTTTTATTGAATACTTCCCCCACTACCCCCATGAACAATTCTTAGTTTACCCAGGTCTTATAAAGTATGTTTAAGATATGCAAGTCAATTTCAATCTTAATGCAAGTCAATTTCAATCTTATAAAATCGTGAGGCCGAGGGAATTTTCCTTTTGAAAAGACTGATATTCAGAGCTCAGTGAGTTAAGTTTGAGTGGTGGATTATACACCCACTAATGCCTTTTAAATGAATTAAAAGTATAAATCTCTTTGACGGGTGATTGGCTTCTCCCATAGATTTATTTGAAAAATATAACACAATGACTATTCCAGAATTAGCTGTAGTCGTGTGTGCATAGCGTCCCTTTATCAATGCATAAAAGTATTACATGGAACTTAAAAGGGTTATTTGAATGATAATCTGTTTCTGTCTGTTAGTTTTTAATGACTTAGAAGTTCAAGATGCCAGGACAAACATTGCACGGGTAGTAGGCATAGTTTAATTTCGGCCTATGATTATCAGCTGCATTGGTTACGCTTTTTAGTTGTAGTTGAAAAGATATTGGGTACACTTTTGTTACCACCAAATCGGATAAAAACAAAATAATTATTTCATTGGAGGGTATTTTTAGTAATTTTTTTATATAAACATAAATAAAATATTTCAAAACATTATATTTTGACAGATGCAATATAAATTTATTTTTGATATATATGGTGCATTATCAGTTTTGTCAAAATATTTGAGTGTCAGTAAATTTATGTCGGATCTTCGAGAATCACAAAGGCACTTCCGGTTCCAGTAAATTTCCACAACAGAAAATGGAAAAGACTGTAGAATGCCATTACATTTTCGTTGAAAGTTGGTCTTTAGCTCCCCATTGACGACTTCCAACCGTGCCAACAGGTAAAATGGGGAAGCTGAAGTGTTTTGAGATAATAATGTTGGACAATAAGTCAGTTTTCCACCCAGGAGAAAGAGTCAATGGACAGGTGGTTGTGGAACTGAAAGGAGACATGAAAATGAGATCTTTGAGAATCTTCATGAGAGGAATTGCAAAGGTTCATTGGACTGAATCTCGAAGTACAGGCAGTAGACTTGGTTCCTATACAGAGCATTACAATGCTGAAGTGGAATATTTCTTCAAGAGACAAGTTTTATTTGGAGGAGGTATTTATTTATTATTATGAAATATAATACTAACAAGTAACAGGCTTTTTTATTTTAGTTAATAATTGCATTGATTTCAAAAATGAAAGTTAAGAAGTTGCATCCTTAAATCTACATGGCTATGACTATCCACAAGCTAATGTTATTATAAGAGAATACAAATAAATCATTGTTCATGGAGAATGTAATTGTCAATTAATAATTATAAAAAAACAACAGCAATTATTCTTTGCTGTCATTCTCAGAAATATAAGCCATGATATGTCTTAAGGGTTTGAAACCTTTTTATTCCTAAACTGTAAATACCAGTTCTATAATGTGTTTGTGAGTACCTAATTGTAATGAACAAGCTTTAAACTGGTTAAAAGTAAAGGTTGATGGAATCACGAGATGACATGTAGACGGGTTGACTGGTATTCAGCTATAAATAGTAACACAAAATGTCGAAACTTTGAGTACTCCAACACTTTCGAGTATGAGTTATTATGAAAAATTATTGCTTGTTACAGAATAAATTATTGTCTCCCTTTAAGAGAACTTTTTTTTTTTTTAATATGACAAAATCTGTCACCGAGTTGACTCGGCAAATAGTGTCGCCGAGCGATATTTTGTCACCGAGTTAACCAACAAAAATTTGTCGCCGAGTTAACATGTCACCGAGTTAACCGAATACCGTATAACAGTGTATTCAAAGGGTATACAGTATTTGTGGTTTGATCAAACTGTAAAATTACTCATCAAAAAATGTTTGGGTTTTTTTTTTTGCGTTATGAAAAAAAACATGCATTTTGATACGAGCTTGTCAGTTGCTTGTACAAGATTATTAATTAGACATTTTAGTAATAGAGTAACATACAGGTCTATTTTTCAATTGACTAACATAGAACATAATTTTGTAAAGATTTTAGTTTATCTTCATTGTATTAATTTACTAATATTATGTATTTAAGAAGTTTAATGCATTTTATTTTATTTTTTCAAATTTGTACAATGGCCAGGAAATGGAGTACCAATAATAGAAATAGAAGAAAATGATACATTTCTCACATGTTTGAATTTCACATCTATAAGAAAGTACTAACTGTACACATAAGTATGAGTTTTAACTGTCGGATGTGATTAAGGTTTTAAAGAATTAAAATAGATGTAATAGAAAAGAAAAGTCATGTTAAGTATTATGTTAAGATAAGATTAGAGTTGTTAATATGTTGGTGTTAATTCGAGGAAGTTTAAACAACACGTTTCCTTCTGTGAAAAAATTCTTAATTTTTAGTTTAGTCAAAGGAAGTTCATTTATTCAGTAATATAGTTGAGTGAAGAAAAACTAGAATAGATATTATTTTACCTAGTATTGTGATCACATGTTAAAATGTCACATTAAATCTCTTCTAATTAGCATATCAATTGCTGTAATGGTTTTAAAAATGATAATATTATTATAATTTACCATAGAATAAATCCATTTGATAAATGTATTCATATGATTGGTATAAGAGCTCACATCAAATGCTGCTGTTTCAGCTGTATATTCTTGATATTTATATGAGCATCTCACTGACCATTAGTGACCAAGAGGCAGAATTCCAAAAAGAGAATGTTTTACAGTGCAAAGATTTGTATATGAATTCAAAATGAATTCAACTGGTAATGAAATGAATGTTTTACGTGGGCTAATGAAGACGCGCAACGCCATTCAGGGTACAACAAGGGAAATCTTCTCAGGACACTGGCATTAACCTGCGTGCATAACCTGTAGAACACAGGGTCTTGGTTTATTGTCCCATCCGAATGACTAGATGCTTTTTCCATGTCATCCCCTCTTACCTACATCACTGACAGCGGGAAACCAGGTTGAAAAATATGAAGGTATCATCTCGACCCATGTTGGAATTGAACCCTGGGCCTTCAGGTTAGCAAGCAAACGTCTAACTCACTGAGCCACCATGACTCCCATTAAATGGTAATAGTCTGTGTAGCACATATTATTGTTCAAGTTCAAACTCAGCTATCTAGGGTTTGCTTGTAATTGGATTAAAGCTGATCGCTAAAATCTGTAGGTTTAAGACATAAAAATTAGTGACCTCTATTGGAATCGGTAATTATAGAATTACTGGAGTGATTCTATGATTTTTTTTATCAATTTGAATTGATAGAATCTATGGACAGTAGTTGATTATGACAAATATGTTTTCTGCTTTCAATTCATCATGTACTTGATTAACGAACCATAGTATTGTATAGGTGATAGTTTTATAGCATAATGAGCTGAATGAATTTTTTTTCTTTTTAGAAATTTCTGATGGAAGAGATACTTTAACTGAAGGTCGACATGAACTAGATTTTTCATTTGAGTTACCAATGGGGTGAGTTATGTTAATGTCTAATTATTTTATGAAATAAAAACCCCTTAGAATTCTTTTTCAAAATATATGAATATTCATTAGAGTATATCAATTACCAAAAAAGTATCGTGTATTGATTTGCATATTTTGATCTGTTTTATATTACAGTGGAATTTCAACATCATTTGAAGGGAAACATGGTAGTGTAAGATATTGGTTAAAAGCTGAAATGGATAAACCTTGGTCATTTAATCATAAAACTAAAAAAGCTTTTACAGTTATTAGTCCTATAGATATCAATAGAGCAGAATACCAGGTAAAACAGTGATCTTGTTCACTGATTTAAAAGATCTGGGGGTTTCATCTTAGCAAAGGTTTATATGATGTCTTAAAAATATCAACATGGTTTCCCTGATCTCTGTGATGCTTGTCATTGGTTACGATCCCTGGATGAGAAAAATAAATCAAAGCCTTATGTCCTACAGATTAAGGTCAAATTTAACCAAATAAGCTAGAAATAGAAAACATCATTGAAATCTTAAACATCCAGTCAGTTGTAGCAGAATTGATAAGTTGTGAGTGATTTTTTCACTAAATACTTACTTTTTCTCTAAGTAATTCTACTGCAGGTCATATTTTATTAGTATTTAAAGGGACTTGTCTTATTTCCTGGACATATCTGAAAATCTTGAATCTAAACTTGGTTTCTGGTATGTAATTGTAGACACAAGTAGAGAGTAGTGTAGAGAAAACATTATGTTGTTGGTTATGTACATCAGGACCTATATCTATAACAGCTAGAACAGACAGACGTGGTTATTGTCCAGGTACTGGTTTCCTTTTTATCAGCCCACATCTCTCTATATGGACGTATATTTTCCGCACCCTTGTCTGTCAGTCGGTCCGTCCGATTTTTTGATGGAATCAAATGAAATTCAGTATGTGCATACATATTCATAAAACGAAGATCAAGTTCGAATTTGAGCTATTTTCGACCATTAGAACAGAGTCATTGCCCTTGCCCCAAAATCTTGAATATGCTATTACTCTCTTAGCCTTCAACCGATTTTGATGAAACTTTAAACGGATGTTTCGTTCTTACCATCTGCATACAGTGAAGGGCGTATATGACTGTGGTCCACTATCTTTATATGTGTTAACATAGTCTGTTCTCGTTCCAATATACCTGCATCACTATGATTGATTTAGTTACAATGCCGAAACAATCTTAGCACTAGGATGATCTAGGGTCTTAACTTCGAACATTGTTTTTAGGATATCGTACGGCTAAGATAATTCTAGAAGCAGGTGTATGAAATTTTGGTCCATTTCTATGTAGATAATGTGGTATTCAGTGTAATTTTGTATTTTGTACATACATGTATTTATAGATATGTCAGTTAAATATCTAAATATCTAGGATATGTTAAATAAGCCATCTCAATTTTTATTTTCTGAAAGTTGATTGATACTGGATTTCAACATATATTTGTTATCACTGATGAATGTTAAAAACAACCTGGATTTGATGACAAAACACCAATGTTTCGATAAAAAAAACATAAGAGAACTGGTCAAGCTAATAATGTCCATTAAGACTTTTTCTAATGATCGTTACATTCTGTTTTTTATCTAGATGACTATAATATTTCAGGTGAATCCATAGCAATCTCAGCTGAGTTTGATAATCATTCTTCTAGAACAGTCATACCTTATGCTACATTGTATCAGACACAAGCTTTCTTTGCTAGTGGTAAATCTCGTGTCCGGAGAACCAAGTTTACTGTTTTAACTGGGCTACCTGTAGCTCCTGGTACTCGAGGAAGCTGGGACTCACAATTACTGAAAATACCAGCTGTATCTCCTTCTATTATGAATTGTTGTGTTATGAAAGTTGATTATTTTGTTAAGGTTTGTATGAGCATGACAACTCGGTAATATGTGTTAGATATCTATTTCTAAATTCTATTCTTCATGCTTCTAAAAGCTATGTGTATGCATGACTTCTCATGATTTGAACCTCTGGGTATGGTCCTGGCACATGCAAGGTCTTGGTCAGCAATTTTTGTTGGCAACAGAATTTTGTCATGAGTTTTGCCAACTGGCTGCAGGCATAGGAGGAGATTTCCACAATGTTGATAATTGTGGATTGTGCAATAGAAAGGAAAATAAGTCTGATAGGATGATGACACTCTGTCTTGCAGACGATAAAACATTTGGCGACAATTATCAAACTGGTTTGATATTATATATTCTGTTGGCAACGTGATAATCTCGTCGTGAACGCATGGGCACACACAAGATTTTATCCTTTAAATTTCTTTTAATTTTTGTATTTAAGATTTTCTGCACTTATTTTAAAAAGCCATGGTGTTAATGACTAAGACAATATTTTTTCTAGGTTGCTCTACATATCCCTGGTGCCTATAATCTTCGTATACAACTTCCAATTGTCATAGGAACAGTACCATTTAGAAGAGCTCAAACTTATCATTTTATGGAGTCACGCTATTATAGAGAAACACAAGCTCAGTTTGCCATGGATTTCTTGCCAATACCACCACCATATAGAGAAACCATTACACCTCCACCTCCTTTTGATGGTAAGGTTAACCTCTCTACTACTTGTGGAACCTCCAATCTATGTTGAAAGATTTCTAATAACTTTGTTAATAATTATTGTAAAAAAACACCATCTAGGCTGAAAGTATTGGGTGTTATTTAATAAATATTGTTATTAAAGATCCACCAACCTATGCTGAAAGTATTGGTGTTATTTAATAAAGATTGTTATCATAGAACCACCAACAGATGCTAAAAGTATTGGGTGTTATTAATAAATATTGTTATTATAGAACCACAAACCTATGCTGAAAGTATTGGTGTTATTACTAAATATTGTTATTATAGAACCACCGAGCTATGTTGAAAGTATTGGGTGTTATTAATAAATATTGTTATTATAGAACCACAAACCTATGCTGAAAGTATTGGTGTTATGTAATAAATATTGTTATTATAGAACCACCGAGCTATGTTGAAAGTATTGGGTGTTATTAATAAATATTGTTATTATAGAACCACCAACCTATGCTGAAAGTATTGGTGTTATTAATAAATATTGTTATTATAGAACCACCAACCTATGCTGAAAGTAGTAGGTGGTATTAATAAATATTGTTATTATAGAACCACCAAGCTATGCTGAAAGTATTGGGTGTTATTAATAAATATTGTTATTTTAGAACCACCAACCTATGCTGAAAGTATTGGGTGTTATGAATAAATATTATTTTAGAACCACCAACCTATGCTGAAAGTATTGGGTGTTATTAATAAATATTGTTATTTTAGAACCACCAACCTATGCTGAAAGTATTGGGTGTTATTAATAAATATTGTTATTATAGAACCACCAACCTATGCTGAAAGTATTGGGTGTTATTAATAAATATTGTTATTATAGAACCACCAACCTATGCTGAAAGTATTGGTGTTATGTGATAAATATTGTTATTATAGAACCACCAACCTATGCTGAAAGTATTGGGTGTTATTAATAAATATTGTTATTATAGAACCACCAACCTATGCTGAAAGTATTGGTGTTATGTGATAAATATTGTTATTATAGAACCACCAACCTATGCTGAAAGTATTGGTGTTATTAATAAATATTGTTATTATAGAACCACCAACCTATGCTGAAAGTAGTAGGTGTTAATAATAAATATTGTTATTATAGAACCACCAAGCTATGCTGAAAGTATTGGGTGTTATTAATAAATATTGTTATTTTAGAACCACCAACCTATGCTGAAAGTATTGGGTGTTATTAATAAATATTGTTATTTTAGAACCACCAACCTATGCTGAAAGTATTGGTGTTATTAATAAATATTGTTATTATAGAACCACCAACCTATGCTGAAAGTATTGGGTGTTATTAATAAATATTGTTATTATAGAACCACCAACCTATGCTGAAAGTATTGGGGGTGCAGTAGACATATGTGAAGATGATGATGGAGATCCTAGTGCTAATATGGGAGATTTAACTTATACACCCATGTATACTTATGTTTACGATTATAGGCCACCACCAGCTTATTCTGAGGTAGGTTCTTTTTTACAAACCAAATGTCTAAAAACCTATTGTTTTATTCAATACATATACATACATTAGCCTCAGTTCAGATATTTAGCATTTGCTTAATTAATTAGCCTACTTGCTTTGTAAATGTATAATGAATGCAGAAACTGAAAGTAAACATATTAACTAACACTGTCAGACGAAAAAAGGCGTATTGTAACTTTTCGACTTTGTGGTCTGAATTCACAGACTGCTAAAAATGTCTGATTAGCATATAAATAAATCAACAGCCGTGAACAATATTCTGAATTATGTTGCCTTCTGAACTTAATTTCAATTTTAGTTTGTTCTTTGAATGTATTTTTGGATGGAGGTGTTGTAAATCTATTGATCTTTTCTTTCAGACTGATCAAAATGCATCTTGTTTGTCACACCTAGAGAATCTGAATATAAATGATGATGATGATGATAGTGATAATGATTTATGATATATGTTATCACTATAATGATGATTATCCCCTGTTATTTTGATGTATGTGCTCAACTGTATTATTATAGTGCTGTATGATACTGTACTGATTTGAAACTTAATACTCAAACAGTAAGTTGAGGATATTATGTTTTTATACAGAAGGTACATATTTTTATTTTATTTAAGTTAATAATAAAATTCTGTCCAGATACTAAATAATTATTTTATATAATATCAAATGAGATTCCAGTTGCAATACGTCTATGTGATAACTTGAAGATGGTATATGGCCATAGAATTCATTTTGATAAAATATGTTTCATTGTGAAATATATAATATAATTATTGATGAAGTTATTGCCTGAACAAGTTCTTTAGGATATTGAATTTTGCCCATTGAAACTAGAATTAATTAAAGCTATTGTCTCACTAGAAAAAAACAGAAGAAGGTTAGGACTGCATTCGTATCAGGTGGTTGATCAAAATGGCCTTGTTTCCCTGTTTCAAAATTCAGCAGAATTAACAACGTATAGACACACGTAGTCTTGCCATGTCATTCTAAGATTATCAGTTCTGTTTTGAAGCCTTTATTCAAATTCACTTCAATAAAATGGACAAAAATTAACATACTAACGTACTTGCTCAGACAATAATATTGTTTATTATCAACCAGCCCAAATCCAAGACAGTTTTAATTTTGTTAAAATCCATTTATGAAGGCATTTAAGATCTGTCCAAACTTATATAGACGGTATCATTTGAATACTAAATCAACCTTATTTTCTCTCTTAGCACAAAGAGCTCAGATTATTGCTGTAGCTAATTATTCTGCAGTTATCTCCCATGGATAATGAATTTAACTTAATAAGGCAGATTCTAGTTTTAGTTATCAATTTTAAGTCTGAAATTGAGGATTTTTGATTCATATATGTGAATTTTGGATTTATTGTCAGTTAAAATTCTAGTTTTTAAATAAATATAAGTTTGGTAGTGAAAGATAGACCTGAAAGATTGATATCTAATTCAACAATCAAACAGTCTTTTAAAGGTGAATTCAAACCTGTATTTCTTTCTTATGTGAAACATTGGAACAACATGCCTGTAATTTGTTTTATTGCCAAACTGTAATGTTAAATATGAATATCTAGACATTTGACTATAACATAATGACAATGAGGTCTTTGATAATACATTTAGAAGTAACATAGTTAAATATAGTTAAAGATATGTAGTGGACCATATGATATAGATGAAGTAGGGCTTGATAGAATATTTTTGATAAGAATAATGGGATTTGTCAAGTTTATATTTTTATTTTGCCATTTTTGTACGCTTTCATAATTTTTGATTTCATGAATTTGGATGTATGTTTGTTATTGCCCTTGCTTACAATAAGATTTATCATATATAAACTTACTTTATATTTTTATCAACACAAGTCAAGCTAAGATTAACAGAATTCTTTTGAAGCTGATATTATGTTCACATGAAAAGCATAATCAGTCAATTTTATTTGCGTCTAAAGTAGGAAATTGGAGACATTTCATTTATTAAAAGCTGACGGGGTATATGACTAAGCCTGCTTCAAAAATCTCTCTTATTTGCTTGATAATACATGTAAGCTTATACAACTTTTTGTAATTTTTACAAAATCAAAGTATTGTATGTTTTATTATTATTAACACTTTGCCACCATAAACTGGTGAATTTGTTTTGGTCACATGATATTTTATTTATTTTTACAATATATATTTATATATATATCTGAGTTTCTGATCAACTGTTTATTCATATATCTACTTTGACAATTTATTTTCATTTTTGAACTAATCTCTTCATTTTTGCAATGTTTGCTGTGCAAAATCGAATTTAAAATCAAAATAATTGATAATGATTAAATCATTGACATTGTTTGGAATCAAGTAGTATAGTGGAACAAAGATATTAACATACATTCTGTGACAATTCAATACAAAAATACAAGCAGTTTCCTTTATTTTAAAGGTAAAATAGATAGTAATTGAAACCAGGATTGTTAAAAGTTTCCAACCATCAATATTAAGACGTAATTTAGATCTTGTAGCAATTTCATGGAGATTAAATGAAAAATCCAAAAAATCTAGTAAAAATTTACGTAGAAAATGTCCTAAAATTGCAGTCAGCTATTTTTATGCTCCAATCAGACATGACTGGAAAATACAGATAAATCAATAGCTGTATCCAAACTGTATCCAAACTCATATTGTATACAATTTTACTTAAAGTATCTGAAAGTAATTGTTATTCTTTATGTTTTGAATGAACACTGAAGGTGCATTTATATCTTAGCTCTACTATAGTTGTATTTTGTTATATTTTTTATGAAATTATTCTTTGTTTTGTTTTTAGTTAGTTGGACCAAAGTGCTTTTTTGCTTTTGAGATTTGAGGGGTCAGATAGAAATTTTCTAAGATAGAAATCAATGTGCAATGTTTAGCTATTAATTTCTACCTATTGAAATGAATTAAAACTGGAGCTATAAATTCAGTAGATGTAAATATAATTTTGTATAATATCCCTTGCCAAAATATTGTGAATGTATTAATTGTAATAATAGAGTTTACCCCACCCCTTTTACCATAATGGCATATATTGACATAGAAATAGTTGTAGTGATTATAATGTTAACCTCAGTGTGTTGTTTCAGGTTTTTCTCTAGGTGACTCCATTTGCTATCTATGATCTTTCAAAGTTGTTCGGATCTTTTCACTTTATCAGTGTTTTGACTGGTAAGCTTAAATTGTGAAAACATTTATTACGATAAGATCAAATTTCAGATAACACACAACTTAAATATCTTGTCAGATCATGGATTGCAAATGTAGTAACCTGCAGGAAAAAAAGCATTATAATAAAATAGTACAAAATGGCTTATTTGTTAAAAATTGAAATTCCAGTTATGTAATACCTTCAAATTAGTCACTGAAACAGCAAGTTGTAGAACTCATGGTACACTTATATAAATAATTCTTTGATATTTTTAGACAAGCAACTAAAAAAAATTCTTTTGAAAATTGGTAGTCATCTGTTCTGTATCATTCTGGTA